AAGATCCTCTAGATGCTCTAGATTGGCTCATACTTATGCGATTCAACTAATTATGATAGGTGTATTATGATCGAGTCCAGTCATTTCCAGACAATCTAGTTCATGTAGCTGAATATACGTGTAGATGGATGTTCTGCATGTTTCCCTCCCCTGGTCACTTGGCATTTCTCCTGCCATCTCTACGCAGACGTATCCTAACTAAATGAGAAATGGCCACCAACACCGACAGCATGATCAATAAAATAGAATGCTACCATACCATCCTATGCATCGTCCTCTCCCCCTCAAACCCTCTACCATCTCATGGACCCAACAGTTCACATGAATAGCAATAAATAATTTTGCAACCATATCTCTTGTGCTGCAGAGATACTTACTCTGTTGTTCTTTTTTTTCTTTTTCTGAATGGGGTTCAATATCACTTTACTCATATCCTTGCCAAAGGATATAAGTGAAGTGACACTGAACCCAAATCAGAAAAAGAAAAAAAAAAACAATGGAGTAAGAACGCCTGCAGCACAAGGGGTCAGGGTTGCAAAATCGGAAAGATTCTCAGCAGTGCCTGTAAAGTCATAACATTTCATTCCTACCAATCCGCCATCTCCTTACCCAAATGCATTGACATTGTGAACTATAACATACATAAATACTTGCATTTAGGAAAGAAAATTCTGTTTCCATCAGACATCCTTCCATTTAACCTCACACCTTTGGTAACAACTCACACTTGAAAGCCACACAGAACATCATAGTTTTTTGGTTACATTAAATCACCGTAAATCACATATGGCAAGCAGCAGTACTGACGTTTCCATTTATTATTAATTTCATTAGAATTACATTCAGTACTGGACAGGCTTATATGGCAACATTACAATGCATACTGAAATCTATATGGGAAAGAGAGTAACATACCTTACAGAATACTGGAAATCTGACATTCATCTTCCACTTCAGTGCTGGACAAGAATAAATTGCAAATATAACAACATATCTTACAGACGTTTGATTTGTTTCCTCCTGGTCCATCACACTAACAATATTATAAAAGGTAAATTATATCTGTCCACTGTGATTGGACATCAGTGACATCAGTCACACAAGATGGAATTAATTAACCTTTTATAATATCTTACAGAATATTCAAAATCTGATACTCATCTTCCATTTCAACACTGGATGGCAATACTTGGCAAAATTAATAACATATCTCAAGGAAATGCAATGATTATTGGAAATTTATATTCATAATAAAAAGAGAGAATAATAATATAACAGGAAAATAAATTAGGGCAAGGAGTACAACATACTGCCTCTATAAAAAATTTGTTCACTGATTACTTTACTCCTCATAGTAAAGTCTTTTTATCACCTCATTCTCTCATAAATCATATTACTGAAAGCATGTACTGCTTTTCAAACATTTTTTAATTATCCATGATCTGTATACTGATATACAGTTTCAATAGTAATAAATGATGACAATGACGTTTGTTTGATTACAACTGGGTTCTAGGGACAACAACTTTGAAAACTAGTCCTCATTATTAGCTACTGCATTCATAAAAGAAGCATTGATTGCTTACCTGAAATGGTGTGTAATGATCAGGAGGTTGTGGGAGTGATTGTGCTGCAGAATCTGAGCTACTGGAACTGCAAATCTGTTCAGCTGCACAAAAATGTATATACACCATTCTAGTAGAATCATTAGTGCAGGATATCCCAACTCTTCCTGCCCACACCATAGCCCTGTAAGAGTATTACATACTGTCTCAAAACCTTCAAATAATTCATCTATAAGTATTACAAACATGGTGCTGGTGCTATGCTGAGGGGTAAAGTTTAATACATTTAATACATACACCAGCTAAACTTAATTTCCTCGTTGGATAAGCAACACATAATAAAGCCATTACATCATGCATTAAACAAGACTTACTGTGCTGAATACCTGGGAAAGTTGAAGAGTTTCAAACCTGTCTGCCTACTGGATGACGAAAACCCTGGGCAAGTGCAAAATTTCTTTTTTCCCATTTATCCTGCAAGAAACAATACATATATTATAACACAATCACAGGACACAGTGAGTTTCGAGATTCTACACACCTTTCAGCTACATCGAAAGATGCATAACCTACAGAAATATCTTAAAAGGAAATTTTCACTACATATAAATTTCTAACTTAATTTCATAAACAGTAACATGGCGATTTAACTTAAAGAGTAAACGTCAGCTCTTATTCACCACATCAAATCAAATTCCATACTTCCCAACAATCAACCGCGAAACTGTGCCACTTAACTTTGTGATAACTACATACTATAACCCATTCCCGAGAGGTCGATTACCATCGATCCATCGATCATCACTCTTATCGATGGCCAAAATGGCAGTTCGTTCTGTGAACAATGGGATGACACTCAAGTTTTCGTCAATGAGTCATGAAACACGTGAAGTAACGAGTACTTGTCGTCATAAATTTAAAATATAACTCAGATCAGAACAAAATATTACTATACTGCTACAAGAAGAGATAAACAGTCAAGTCCATCTTCCCCTTATCTGAGTGTCTGCTTTTTATCCCTGTGACAGAACAGGAGCAGCCCTATGGATAGGTGGTAGGAGGTGATGAAATTGCCCCTAGCTACAGAATTCTGTGCCATGTTTAGTTCCTGCAGTGTTTGCATATGTTCCAGTTATTAAATGTTGCACAGAACTTTGTAGTAAAGTTCATTATGATGTTCCCATCTTGGTTACTGTACAACACCATTGTACCCTAGAGAAATTATATTGTAATTTAACCTGAGGGCTATTAAATTGTTTCTCTCAGTTTGTTGTGGTGGGCCTCAAACCAGTAAATCATATCTTCACATTTCAGTAATATTGTCATCCTTTCTTACTGTGCTACAAACTGAAAGGTCATGAGTTCGATTCCCAATTAGGTAACTGGATTTTTAGATTGACCGAATCCTTCCAGTCACACTATGACCCTGGGGTCAAGTCATCCTCTAACAGAAATGAGTACCAGGAATATTCTTGGGGGTTACAGGGCAGCCGGCGTGTAAGGCTGACATCCTCACTGCCATCTGTGAGCTTATTGTCGAGAAAGTATGGGAGTCCTGACGTCTCGCAGACCTATGGTCCTCCACGGCCTGTTACAGGGATAGCTTTACTTTTTTTTTTATATACTATCATCCTTTCTTGTATTTTGGTTATTGAGACCTGTTATGGCCTCCTGCCAAATGAGCACCAGGGTCTGTTTCCCTGAGTGTGGGAGTGGCATGGAGCTGGCCACTCACCTCCATCTGGAGCAGAACTAATTAAGCATAGAGACAGCTTTGCATTTATGGATGCTACAAAACAGAATGCTGCATAAAGAAAGCAGTTTTCTGGGATTTGGCACCGTGTATATGTGGTGTTAACCGACGTTTCGGAGGAACGTATCGCCTCCATCTTCAGGGTAGAAGAAAAAATATAAGAAATCTGCAAGCGAAGAGACCATGAGAAACGGTAAAAGCAGACTGTGTTGGAAATATACACAGCTATGTGAGAGCAGAGAAGGAAGGGGGGAAGGGCAAGTATACAAGTGAAAACAGTAGTGTGGGAGGGGGGGGGAAGGAGCTGGGACAAGCATGGTTTTTGTGTTGGGGGGAGAGAAAGGCAAGGTTAAAGGCTGGGCATTAACCCGTAAGCTGAGGAGGGGGGTTGTTATGTTGGTTGGTCATGGCCTGTGTGCCCTTCTGGATCTGGCATCATATCCTGGTGGGGGTTTTTAAGAGAACAGATGAGAGGCTTCCAAGACTTGCTGAGACAAAACCCCCCCTCTCTGTTCATATTTTCTGGATGCAGTTCAATCTCAATTGCCTCCCTAATGATGCGATCCATATAGCGGGTCTTGGTGGCGAGGATGGATCCATGCATGGATGATAGGACAGCAAAATGGATGTCAGAGAAACACTGTAACTTGCTTGTTGTGACTGTAGAGCAACAGCTCCTTGCTCTTATGGCAGATGAGTCACATGAGGTCTCGTGCTGGCGAGTCACAGGCCTGAAACAATTACATGAACAGCATTAAGAAACAGACAGATTCTGATTCACATGCAAATCTCTATGTGCGATTTCAAACTTGATCCACTTTTAATTTCAACAAAATGTAAAACTTCTATGTGGCTTGCAAAGCCACAATAAAATTATGGTTACATAATATTCCTGTGTGATAATACTTTGCACATTCTCCCCCCATAAAACATGTTTTCTGGTACTCTCTAGTTCAGTTTATGCCTCAAGATTAAAAAATACAGTACAATGGCAAATGTGTGAGACTTCTGACAAATTTGTCAATACAGATCAAGTATCTGCTGGTATACATACTGGTCTAAAGAAAAGATACTAATAATACCCATACACTAAATAAATTCTGTTCAAAGATATCTCCATATTAGAACACTGTAAAACTACATAAAAGTACAGATTTTTCCTCCTTAAAAATGGGAAATTAATTTCCATTCCATTACAAATCCAACCCATGCAATACTGCACTATTTATATATCAAAAATTTCATGGAAGAACTCATGCTTATTTTCCATTTCCAAATTCCTGTCCAACCAACATTACAAGCAATAATTATATAATTCTGTGCTCTACATTTCACTTACTACAGGCAGAAGATCATGAGATCCACAGCCACATTTGTAATTTTCACTGTTTCCCAAACTCTGATGCCAGTACAACTTTTTTATAATATGCAATTATCTAAATTAGATTATTAGCAGGTATCAAATATTGGTTCTAGAAGAACTGGAAACAAAATGAAATTAAAATATTCAAGCACAATAACAAATGTAAAGTACAATCAGCTTATAAAATGAAAATCCTGATCTTCCCCGGGACCTGAGTCATGTATCAGTTCCATCATTACAAAGAAAAGTGTTAACACTCTGATCAACAATAAAATATGGCTACAAACCACTTAACAGACTGTGGAAACCATGGAGAAATGATGGACGTCAACACAAACATTAATTCCTGCTGGGAGTCCGTTTTCTTTCAAACTTTCTTTCTTATATTATTTGTATAAAAAGTAATTTAAAGAGTGAAGCTTCATTACTTACAGTTCACTGTAACCAAGCTCATACTTACCAATACAGAAAAGTGTTTTGCTCACCCACCTACGCCTTGGTCTTCGCAGGGGTCTCTTACCTTCTGGCTTTCTCCCCCATTCGTGCTACATGCCCTGCCCACTTCATCCTCGTATCCTGCTTATTGAACACACACACACATATATATATATATATAAAACAAGTCCTCATAATATTTATACATTACAAACATATCACATATGCAACGTCACCCTACCTCAGTGTTACTAATTAATTAAAATCCTTCAATCTCTATTTAAAGTTAACATGATCAAATCCCACCTTTTACCCGCCTTCCTGCCGTTTCTGACTTACAAATCAAAACCAATTTTACCACAACACAGACCACAAATCCCATCCATAACACTCCGCATAGAACTTACCAACGTTAATCAACGCTAACCAACCTTAGCACTACACCACATTTTGCTGTTTGAAGCGAACTGTGTTGTCATTGGCCCAAATTCTGCAACGCCTACAGCGATTGTGATTGGTTGAAGTGATCACGTGTGTTTGATCGTGGCCTCTCATGACCCTCATGACCCTCATGACCGCTCATGACATTTGTTTTGAAGAACAGGATTATGAGCTTGTAGTAAATTCGTATTCCTATCCTTTATGTATTCTGGATTATGACACTATATTTAGATATTTAGATGATTTAGATGGAGGCACTATATTCCGCAGGGAAACCACGTACATATATACACGGATATAATACAGGTAGTTACTTCATTAATTCCTGGTTGTAACCAGGCTGCGTGGAGACTTTTTTAATTTTGAAAAATAAATGTATATACAATTTCTTTATTGTGAAAAATAATTTTAAATATAATATTTACAGTTACTTCAAATCCTCAGATTACTTTGAGATACTCTAAGCTTAGATATTGTTATCTAGTTTTGAGTCAATATTCCCTGGTGTTATTGTACAGAAGTAAATATGTGAATATGTGGACACTTCAGTGTTATTGCTTGCCATACATCACTTACATAATACATCAATGGCAGTTATTTGGTATGTGTTGAAAGAAGACAGTGGTGCTACTTATATTTTGGATTCACATTAAAAGCGCCTGTGTATCAACTGATGCAACTGACATCTCTGTGACATGTCTCAAAATTGTAAGATTCAGCATTTTAGGTTTCATGTTGCACCATTTTTAGTACCCTGTACACTTATATTTAGAATTATCAAGTCAAGGAGGATGAGGTGGGCAGGGCATGTAGCACGAATGGGGGAGACGAGGATATTGGATAGGATATTGGTGGGAAAGCCAGAAGGAAAGAGACCACTGGGAAGACCAGGGCATATGTGGGTGGACAATATTAAAATGGATCTTAGAGAGATAGGATGGGATGGTATGGATTGGGTTGATCTGGCTCAGGATAGGGACCAGTGAGGGCTCTTGTGTACATGGTAATGAACGTTCGGGTTCCATAAAATGTTGGGAAATTCTTGAGTAACTGCAGAATTGGTGGCTCCTCCAGAAGGGCTCAGCTCCATGAGTAAGTAAGTACACATCTGCTGAGAGTGGACTGTGTTGCACCATTATATACTGGGAGATGGCTGCTCTGTACTAGTGTGTGCTGTACTGGTCTGCTCAAAATATCCCTTGTGCCAGTGAACCTTGAATGAGTTATGCCTGACACATGCACAGAAGTACCTGTAGCTCTTAATTCTCCAACCTAAATGAAATTTGAAGTGACTCAATAATCCTCTGTGAAATCTAAAAAGTTCTCAAGTTCTTCATACATACAAATTGATGGAAAGGCCATACTTAATAGGCACTCCAAAGGGTTTTGAACACTTAAAATGACATACAAGTTACAAACCAGAGAAGCTGTTTATTTATTTATGTGCATGGGAAATCAGGAGTGTATTATACCAAGGAAAATAAAAATTAATTAGAACTGTAGAAATAATACAGTGCACATTTTATTGTTATAATAAGTAGCTTACAAGTTCAAATTATTACTAACCACAGGAACAAGAGTAATAATATGCATTAAAAATGGCAGTTTGGTAACTCAACAAGTCCAAAATTACAAATACTGAGAGTCATGACCAAATTACACAGAACAGTTATGTATAGGCACTTAAGTACAGGCTGCTTCCAAATATATATATGTAATACCATGTTAAGTACAGATTAATATACTCTTAAAGCACCCTGTATTCTTTCAATTTGAATTCTGACAAACTGTTTACTTCACACTCATTATAAGAGTGTAACTGTAGTTTGTTTCATTTATAGTACATAGCAAATGTTTTTTTATTAATCCACATAAAAAAATTAAGTAAAACTACCATCACCAAACTTGAACAATTGCTTGAATCACAGATGGGCCTATTACAGCATCTGAAGTACATATACCAGTGTATTAAGTAATGGTGGACTTGTGTATTATCTGCACTCCACACTGGGTCTACAAGTTCATTATTCAACTCTTAAGTCAAAAAATAGGTGCATTAAATATGCAACAAGCTTTAAATTACAAAAGAATGCAAGACTGAGCAGTTATGAGAGTGAGAGATCACATATTGGCAGATAAAGTGTCTGTTTATGTCAGTTTTAATGGAGTATTTGTTGAAAATATAATACTGTACCATTCTAATCTACAGCAATCTAATTATGTCTGTGGGAATTCCTTACGAATTCCATACATAAATTAAGCATAATGGAGTAAATAGCTCAAAAATAAGACATGAAAGCAATACGCTGTATCCACAGAAATTGATATTGTTTTCACATTTATTTACTTGTACCTGTCAGCATCTTTACTGGCCCTATTTGATTCACACTTCTCCAAAATCAAGTGTATGGGCAGAAAATAACATTATGTGTGATGTGTGGTTTAAAATAAAGATATTCAACATGTAACCTATTACAAGACATCAGAAATGAGATTCTCACAGTGGTGACTATAAAGAATACTATCTTCCGGGATGTGACACCATGTAAGCTGGTAGTTTACCAATACTTTGGAGGAACATTATGTGTCTGTCTTCAGTGTTGATGAGTAACCCATGCAAGCAAACAAGAAGTAACACTGTCCATGCTTGCTGGACTTACTCTTCAGCCCTTAAGATCAATGCAGTACATTCCTTTGAAAAAATGGTAAGCCCTATGAGAGTACACTGCGTCACATCTCAGGAGGCAATACTCTTAAACATGTCACATACATTTTAGTAACAAAGATTCATAATGGTAAAAAAAACTGTAAATTTTATAATGTGGATCGTATTATTGGGTGATGAGAGCGTGTCAGTGTTTCAGAGATCCTTACCATTTCCATCTTCAAGGTAAAATGACAACCCACTGCATACAGCTGAGACAGCTGAAATGTTGGCAATACAACTTACTTTTACACTGCATCATCACCCACAAACAAATCCACACTGGAAATTAAATGCTACATAATCTCAAAGTCTTCTGTAATTTATGTTATTTCAGAATTCTTACACTTGAACCAAATAAACACTTCAAACAGGACTGCAGCTGACATTACATTGAAAACCTTATCAAGTGTTCATTTCAGAATAGGAACCACAGACACAAACAATGGTACTTAATTTCTTGGGGTGGGGTCAGACTGAGTCCACCTGGTATGTCAGCCACTATTTGGCCTACTGTACCAGCCCCGGATGATAGATGTGTGTGGAGCAGTTGGTGGAATAAGAATTGGCAGGGGAAAACAAAGTACTAGGAGAAAACCTGCTCCAGTGCTACTTTGTCCACCACAAATCCCACATGACCTGAACTAGGCTCGAATGCAGGTCACTGCAACGGAACAATGGTACTTACTCGCATGTAACAGATCAGAGATATCGAGAACACAGAAGCATTATTTAATTATTTTTTCACACTTATGAATGATTATACTATCTATACATAGAGAAAATATATATATATTAAAAAAATTAATCCATATCACAGTTTATTAAATATTTGTGTTATTATAGAACTCATGACTGTCTGTATATCCCATGACTTTTACTTTGTATTTAATTTAAGTATCTCAGTGATATCAGAATTCAATATGGCTTGGCAAGAAGAAACTTTCTGTTGCAGTATTATATCATAATCATATGAGAAACTGCAATGAACAGGCTCTCAGTGTGGAGTGCAATCCATCATGAGAATGCCGTATGCTTAGAAACAACATCAGAACAACAAAAAATCGTAATTACAATAAAAAGGCAAGGAAACTCAAACTGCCAACTAAATCATGCATAACAGTAACGATCAGTGTACAAAATGTGATGTTTACATGCTTATCAGCTGCATTTAGACAGTACTTATATGGTTTGAGTACAGGAATCACACAGCTGGCAATTTGTGAACGTTATAAAAATGGATGCATCTGAAGTTCAGCCAAGCTCAATTCCTATTCAGAAACACTGTAACATCAAAATGCAAGACTGTAATGTGAAAAAATTATTTTCATTTAAAACATATACATATATATTTTAGGAAGAAAGGGCATCCATTTCTTTCCAGTCCACCTGCCTCATATGAACACAAATGCACATATGCATGGTGTCAACACAATTTAACCTCAACTAACATTAGTTTGTTCATGTAAAATCCAAACAAAAATACACAACTGTCTGCATTATACATATTACTTGTAGATATGTAAAATATATGTTCGAATATTTTGTTACTCAAAAATATGCCTGTAGATCCCTTCCATTAACATATTCACAGCATACAGATTAATGTTCCCATTAATAAGGTAACTTTGTTTTTCTTAAAATGCTGGATAGCATAATATTAATAGACTTAAATGACCACATAATGGTCAAAAGCCGTAAGTCACTGATTGCCTTGGCATCACTGTAAAGGACTTATATAGGCAGTTTTATTGCTGTATGTAACTGCATTCCTTTAGCTTGGCAAAATGGGCATAAATGTTGTAGGTACTTGCATGACAAGACATTGTAACTACATCCAGTACACTGTCTTGGTATCAATAACAAACAATTTTATTTGGGCAGAGCATAAAAATATATACAAGCATTAATGTTATACATGAATTGTAAAGAGTTCTCACAATGGTGTACCACATTTAATGTTACCAGTCTTTTGGACTCTGTACATTCTGTGATACTCTGTTTTAAGAACATCAGATGATAAGTCTGCAAAGTTAGTAATACAAATTTTATAACCTCTAAATTAAAACATATATTAAACATTATGTCCATTTTGTATACTTCACATACTGCTGGCTGTGCCACATACTTAGTCTATAAACAGTTTCTACAGAACGGGTACATTCACTGCCTGTTGCAGTGGACCTATTACAAAATCACAGACACAAATTCAATACCATAGCTACATGCATATATGTTACTGTCACACAGATCATACTACTGTTTTGTCTTAGGAAATATGTGACAAATACAGAGTGCTGATGTAACGAAATATGTGATTATTAATTCTGTAGGCATAAGATATTATGAAATAATTTGTTTCAGACACAAACTAATTTGCAAAGATTGCTGTTTCCTGGGACATAATAGTTGGTAGAAGTTTACTGATGTTTTGGAAGAACATGCAGTCTCCATCTTCAAAGTTGCCTCTCATAAACAGTGCTAAATAGTCTACCAGATAACATGGCAACACATCCCAGAAGACAGGAATCGTCATAGTCACTATTCCAAGGGCCTTGTATCTCACAGACCGATTTTGGTTGGATTTCTTGACTGAAACTTTGGAATAAATACATAAATATGTTATTTTTAAACAATATTTCCCTAAATAAACTGTGGCAATGTATACAATAACAAAACAAAAGACACCTCAACTTCACAACTCCCATGTATACTCTACATACAACGTACGTGAATATTCACAAGATAACCATACTTCCGTTCCAAGTTAAAATGAAAACTGAACTGAATTATTGAATGTAGATGGAGATAGCATCATACAGCCATCTGATATTCAGACTGTTGCAACATTGGTACTGTTTTACATTCACATCGTTAAACTGACTTAAATACTTTAACAACAGGCAAGTATCACATAATATGAGTAAGTCTTCCATGAATACATCCCGTTCTTGTGAGATGCGTGCATCCGTGATACAGTCATACTCGCACACATGCAGCGAACACAGCTCACTGCAAAAAACAAGCTGCTGGAAGGAACAGAGCATTCATTCCAGTTTCTGGACAACAAAAACTACTACCAGTCAACCTGAGATGACAACTTCATACTGCTGTCTCATCATAAGATACAGAGGCATAAGCCATCACATTACAAAGATTCACACCAAACCAGCATCCTTCGCCATTCCGTAGAATACAGATGCTTTGTTCTGTAGCAGTGCTTCTGGAGTGTCATATTCAACGAGCAGACCTCGGTCCAGGACTATCACCCTGCAAAATATATATGCCATAATAATCCAATGATTCCCATGTGGAGACAGGTTAAAATGCCTCCACTGTAGCCCTGCAAGTGGTGGAAGGCAACAGAAAGAGAACCTGGTGTCTCGGAATTTAAATGGGCCACCCTGTCATTCGGGAACATCAATACAGGGACCTGGTCCTCCAGGCACTGGGGGTTCGACACAAGGCCGATGATCGTGCTACGTAAAAAAAAAAAAAAAATACTGTGAAATCCACAATATGAAATATGACTCAAAAAGGGCTATTTTGCCGATGATGATGAATAACACAATAAAATTTATCATAATTTGTACATCAGCCACACTATCAGGTACAGTGAAAGAGTCCATACGCAACAAAGACATGTGAGGGAGTGTAGGTATAGCTCCAAGCATGATAATGTGTGGTCAGCATCATGCCCCAACTGCTTTACTCCCCCCTGTAACCACTGGATAGGAGGCTGGGCGGTCCCCACAGCCAGTCTGGATGCCATGGACAAGAGAAAGATCTCTGCCTTTAGTGGGAATCAAACACTGATTCCCCAGCCATCCAGCCCATGGTATAATCACTACACTGACCAAGCCATCTCAGTTCCTCTAGTGCAGAAAGGAGACTATTTCTGATACTGAACAAGACTGCTTCATACACTGTGTGCATATTGCATAAACTGCATTCTGAACAACTACATGGAAAACAGTCCTTACTTATAATTGCTCTGTGGATTAAGAAATTCCTCTTCATACACAGAATTTGAAGATTCGGTTCAGTGCAACAGCCCCATTTGCCCCTTTCATCAGGAAGAACGAATCCAATCCATACCCTCATATCTTCTTCTTTAAGATCAATTTCAGTATTATTTTCCTGTCTATCCCTAAGTGTTCCATGTGTTCTCTTGCATTTAGTTTTCTAACTAAAATTTCATCTGCATATGTGCTAAATGCCTTTCTCAGTTCACCTGAGATTTAATTATTTGAAACTGAGAAGTTAATACACACATATCTTCAAGTCAGTTTAATTTATACATTACACCAACTGACTTAATGTGTTTGAAAATTCATATCAGTCATCAATACTAACACCATATTGAATGGTGTTACTTAAGTCTGGGGAACAGATGAAACAGTAACATTCATTCCCACTGTGAGAAGAAATCCTAATCATATTTACATATTAAAATCTTAATCATAAAACAAATGTGAATATTCACTCACCTATTGGAGTCCATAATTGTGTTTAGACGATGTGCTATCGTAAGTACTGTGCAGTCCTTGAACTCACTACGGATTGTCGTCTAAACACATAATTAAATATTATTATTATTACTCATGGAGCTGAGCCCTTCTTGAGGAGATGCCAATTCTGCAACTACTCAAGAATTTTCCAGCATTTTATGAAACCCAAAGGTTCATTACCTTGTTCACAAGAGCCCTCCACTGGTCCCTATCCTGATCAAGATCAATTCAATCCATACCATCCCATCCTATCTATCTAAGATCCATTTTAATATTGCCCACCCACCTATGCCTTGGTCTTCCCAGTGGTCTCTTTCCTTCTTGCTTTCCCACCAATATCCTATATGCATTCCTTTTCTTCCACATTTGTGCTACATGCCCTGCCCAACTCATCCTCCTTGACTTGATCATTCTAATTATACTTGGAGAAGGGTACAAGTTATGAAGCTCCTCATTATGCAGTTTTCTCCAACCTCCTGTGACTTAATCTCTCTTTGGTCCAAATATTCTCAAACCCTCAGTCTATGTTCCTCCCTTAATGTCATAGACCAAGTTCCACACCCATACAGAACCACAGGAAAAATTATAGTTTTGTATATTCTAATTTATATGTTTTAATTAAATGTTAGTACACTGAATTATTAGTCCACCCTATTACATACCTTCCAACACAACATACTATTATCAGTTTTCTGTGCCTTTCATAATGTAGAGACCTCTATTCTATACCTAGCACATTCTAGCAAATATACATGCCACATATATCTCTCAACTGGCAAAATCATGGTCCACACTAAGTCTGAAATATAGTCAGCACCATAGCTCAAGCGGTTAGTGGCCGGCTTCCACCGTGGCGGCCCGCGTTTGATCCCACGTCTGGTCAAGTGGAATTTACGGTGGACAAAGTGGTGCTGGGGTGGGTTTTCTCAGAGTACTTTGGTTTCCCCTACTAATCTTCATTCCACCAAATTCTCCATCATCATAATCACCCAGGGCAGGCTACAATAGGCCAATCACTGGCCGCCATGCCGAGTGGACCCAGCTGGACTCCACACCCCACTAAGCGAATTTAAAAAAAAAAAGTCTGAAATATTCATATAGTGTCATCCTCATAATATGAATAAAGGCTAATACTGAACTTCCCAGCCAAAGAACCTACAGCTATGGTCATCACTGATGTAAGTTTTGAAGCTTTTGTAGTGGATAAAAAAAATCTTGAACTATCAGTAGTGTCAGTTTTTAGACTCACAGATACAAGACTGTATCTAACAAATTTTAAGACTCCACCCAATAGCACCCTGCTTGTTCATGTTCTGATTGTGGGGCACAAACTGATATACAGATGGGTCGGTTTGGATCCTATGTCACGTCAGATCCCAATGGGGAAGAGATGGCCCCTAAAATGTAGGTAATTTATAACCGACATACAGATCATAGCCTGAGAAACCTTTATCAAGTGAAGACTACCATCTTCTGGGATGAGACACAATATAGTCAAGCACAGTATCTCTGAATACTTCTTTTTATAATGTACACCTTTAAAAAAAGTTTTCGAAGTACCCCAATTATTAAAATGTTCACACAATTTTTTCTACCATTGCAACACATCTGTTCAAACAATTTAGTTCTAAGAGCTGCTTCAAGAAATTACCTGCAGGCAATAAACTTGCCATCATGCAAAAATGTTTATTAGTTAAAACTTTAAACCAAAATGATGACATTTCAGTTCTGTTCACATACCCCTCACTTCTCTCGCATACCCATAAAAGGATAACAGGGTACACATTACCACTGGTTGAGAAACACTGGTCTAGCGGACAGTTACCAACGTTTCAAAGGAACCTGCCACTTCCACCTGCAGTATTGTACCATGTAGCTTCCTCCAAAATGTTGGCAAACCTCTACCAGGATACCCAGCATCAAGTCCCAGAGGCCAGTAATCTTCATAGTCATCACTGTGAGAACCTCAAACCTCACAATGCACCAATTAGGACTGTCAGTCTTTTTGGAGGCGATGACAGTCGAATGTGAGGCATCGGTGGAATGAACACTGGTATAGGAAAACTGAACCATCCAGGCAATAAATTTCCCACCACCTTTACTCCATACAGTGAAATATTTTCACACAAGTAACTTGAGAAAACACAAACCTGTATAAGGTCATCAGTTTCTAAGTCAACAGCAGCAGTAGCTTCATCCAGAATGAGGACTTTCGTTTTCCTAAGTAAAGCTCTCGCTAAGCATATCAGCTGACGCTGTCCAACACTGTTAGATGAAATCAAAATTGTTAATAACAACTTCACATATAAGCAGCATGTACAGCCTAAAGTCTTTATTCTGAAAGCATCCTTAGAACGGACCCATTACATCGCACTATATTAGGGTGAAATTTTGATGGTTTATCTGATGATGCCTTTTTGCAATTATTTTAATTTGTATTTTTGATACCCTTTAAATGGTGGTGTGTTTACTACAATTATAAATCTGAGAACAAAATACCAGATATATTTCATGCTACTTCTACCAGAAAAATAGACTTTCCTAGCATTACCTCAGAACATGACAAGGTGAACCAATATGATTTGTGGACACCCCCTTTCAGGTTTATTTCCTTTGTATTTGTTCATTGCATAGGGTCTTAAATTCCATGTTTTTGTCCTTTTCCATCAGATGATTTGATGTAATGGGGACATTGGGTGAAATAAATTAATAATTTTTATAAAATCACTTAATATTATAATACCATAAGAAAGACAAATCATATATCAAGGGATTAATGCACTTGCAATATATATGAACACATGAATACCATATTTACCTGTGATTATGCTACATCTCAAATGTTATTTCACTAAATTTTAAGTTTCAGCAACATGTTTGTTTTGCATACACTTCTATTTTTAGTGCAACGAGATCTCTTTCAAAAATTTCAAGCAAGCTTTGATTTACAAATTAATTACATATATACACATGTTCATTTTTATGAAGTGCAAGAAATATGAAAAAACTTAACAACAGCCAACATAAAGTTAGCCCCCAAATTGAAACAGATGCAAACTGTCTGTTCCTTCTAACACAGCAAACCCCCCACAATTTTTACTTCATGTTTTGTTCACAGATTTGTGATATATGTAACGCATACCTAGCCTACATTCATGCCCCCTTGACCTCACAAATAAAAAAGTTTGCAGCTGCAAAATAATAACTTGGCACCCTGCAATGCAGGTATATGCTTCTCCCCTATTTCAGTCTCATGAGCCTCAGAATTCAGTGTCAGCAAAATAGATGATGGTCACCAGCCAGCCCCTCTGGAGAATATGGCTTCATTTCACCACCATATTATCATACAATATCATTATTTTTGTTTATACATACATACATACATACATACACACATTATCTTCTTTTTTGCTGGCACTACAACCTTATGTGGATCCTTGCCTCCTCCACTGCCTTCCTCCATAGGTTATGGAAGTTTTGTGTGACAGGAGATTTTTGCAGGGTGGGATTTTTAGCCCCATGCCCAATCCCAAACCTGGAGGACCAGGAGCTACACTTCATTTGACCACTACACTTTGAACTGTCTGGCATGGGTGGCTCTACCATGAGTTTAAGCTCCCACCAGCATAGCTCTCTGCATTACTGGGGTGTGGAAACCTCCTCTCCACAAAAAGGCAGTATTCCTCAAGGGGGACATAAATATTACACAGTACATTATTAGTTACTGAGTCTTTTCAAAATTCTTAATGTTTACTTTCTTACTGCCTGTGTTTTGTTATGCCACAAACCAAACCCCATTTCTTATGTTCAGTATTCACAATTTCTACATTCATGCGAGTTTACAGGAATGTAATCCTTGTGGGTGTGCAGAGTTTACCGCACTGTTTCCTTTTTCTACATGAGAATTCAACTCTACTTGTGGTAGCATTTTTCCCAATCTAAGTTAAATGGCTGCCTCTGACTACTGATACAATGACTGGCCAATTAAAGGCTGATTTAACAAGTCATTTAATTCAGCGATGGCTCTCCACCGCTGACTAAATTAATATTTTAGAACATGCAACATACCTGAGGTTCTCGCCTCCTTCTGACACAGGATGTTCAAGTGCATCAGGCAATCCCTTAACAAAGGCCTTCAGATGTGCATGCTCAAGAGCTAGCCACACATCTGAATCAGAATACCGGCCAAATGGATCCAAGTTGATGCGTAATGTTCCTGAGAACAGGACTGGATCTTGAGGGATGATTGTTAACCGTGACCTACAGCAGAATGATCTTATAACAATTATGTTACACTACATTTTGGAGAACTTCACTTAACCATACTGTTCTCTACAGACATCAGTGATGCCAAAAACTAATATTATCTTGAGCATCTTATAAATTCTCTTCAGAACAACTGAAACATTCACATTTTTCCCAAGAGAAATATTTCGCTGCACGAAGCGGTAAGAGCAAAAAAGAAATGGATGTAGCATTTCCTTGTTTGTGAGCATAACTGAATTGAGATATACCATACTGGTTATATGAACAAGATCTAAAAGTCTGTGGTGATGGTATATTAATACCATCATAACTTGCACATGAAGAAGGCCACAAAGTATGTTGGAAAGAAGCGGAGGTCTTGCAGATTGAACTGGACACCACCTACAGGAAACAAAAAGAATCCACACACGTCTCTGGTTTTCATCCGATCTGTCAGCTCATCTTGGACATCTTGCCCTTCTGGACTACTATTACAAGGTGCTATTGGAAAGTTCCCAGACTGTAACTGTTGTAAGTGCCTCAGTGAAAGATGATGAGAGGGGAGGCTAAGGTCACACTTCCACAAGTCTACTGCATCAGTCTGCCACATGACACTGTGTTGTGAACACGCACTGTTTTTACGTGAGTGCTTTTTCAGCTTTGTGTTTCGCTTTGTCTGCGATGGACAGTAAAATCAAGCAATGTGCCTACATCAAGTTTTGCGTGAAGCTCAGTAAATCCAATACTGAAACCCCTGAAATGCTTTGCAAGGCTTTTGGAGAACATTCTTTAAGCCAGAGGTTTTTGCATGGCATTAGCGTTTCAAGGCCAGTCAAGTGTCAGCTGAAAATGACAAATCTTCAGGGTGACTAAGCAGCAGCAAAATGACAGAAAATGTCGAAAAAAATTAGAGAATTCATCTGCGAAGACCACTGCTAAACAATTCATGAGCTCACAGACACTGTTGGGATGAGTGACAAAGTTCGCCAGGACATCTCAACAAAAAATCTGAACATATGCCACAATATTGCAAAGTTTGTTCCCCAACTTTTGACAATGATAAAAAACAGTGGTGCATACAAGTAAGCGTGTCTTGAGCTATGAGAGAAGGCTAATGAGGACCCAACTTTTATCTCCAGGATCATAAAAGGTGATGAAAGTTTGATTTACAATTATGATGCAGAAACAATCATCACAGTGGAAGAGCCCACAATCACCAAGAGCAAAAAAGACGCAGCAGGTCTGGAGTTCAACAAAGAGCATGCTCATTGTTGTTGTTGTTGTTGTTGTTGTTGTTGGTGTTGTTGTTGTTGTTGGTGGTGGTGGTGGTGGTGGTGGTGGTGTTTGTTGTTGTTGTTGTTGAAGTTAAGGGGATTGTTCGTAGCAAATTTGTTCCTCCTAACACTACGGTCAACTCTGACTTTTACTGTGATGTTTTGAGATGCTTGAGAGAAAAGTGTGATGAAAAAAATCAGAACTTTAGCACAAAGACAACATGCTCCTTCATGAAGACAATGGGCCCCACCACCATGTCCCCAAAAACCACAGAGTTTGTGACTAAGAACAACATGGTTATCGCTCATCCTCTCTACTCACTGGAATTAGCCCCCTGTCATTTTGCTTTGTTTCCCAAATTGGAAACGAAACTGAAGGGACAACATTTTGAAACAGTGTCCGACATCCAAATGGAACCACAAGAGGTACTTGACAGCATTAAGGAAAATGACTTCCACAGTTCTTCTGAAGCATGGAAAAATCAATGGGACCACTGTACTCATTCCCAAGGAGACTATTTTGAAGGAGATGGCAGCCAAAATTGAGTAAGTTAAGCCAGCGTTTCTTTTCTGACATAGTCTGGGTACTTTCTGAGAGCACCTCGTACTACAGCAGAAGTCAGAAAACTACAACTCCTTCCAGTGTAGATTACATGAGAAGGTTGTGTTTTTATGTTGGTACTATGCAGAGAATTTGTCTCTTTAGTGATGGCTTCTATTCTCATGGTACTCTCATTCTATAGACACTGATCATTAAATAATGCACGGGCATAAGTGCTAGGCCTCATGTGTGAGGAATTTCTTAATGTTTTTAATGTCTGTCTTAACTCTTGGTGATTACTTACACTGTGTCTGGTTTATATATTGTCACGTGTTGGGTATGTCACGCAACAAATAACTTCATGTGGGTCTCAGATTTAGCGAATCTTTATTGGACACTCACACTTACACACCTTACAATTATTATTACTGTCCTTGGCCGTGGCTGGATCTCAACTGTCTTCGGCGACGGCTATCCCAATGCTGACTTCTTGCTGTCTTTCTTCTATACTGTATGGTGTCTAGGTTCCAACTGACTTGGCAAATACCTTCAACCCTTTTTATAACTTCGGCCGCTGCTATGCAATGAACCCTCGTTACAAACATGGAGACTCATCTCCGGGGAGATTCGGCATTCTCTACGCAACGACTCACTGTTAGAATTACAATACCGCTATTGTTACTTCCTATGCAACGGTCTGTTCTAGCTTTTCCATGGAAGTAACCCTTCTGGATTCCAAACATGTGACAATATGCTATCTTGTGTTGGTTCTGATGTCTGAAGATAGGGACTAGCTATATTGTGACATGCTGAGCTATGGATCACCCCTACCTCCCCAGCGGTACGTGGCGGTAACGTAACGCTCGCGTTACTACGGTAATAGGCGAGTTCCCGCCCCGCCACTCCCCTCCGCGGTGACGTAACGCGCAACGCTACGTACCCGTAATCAACTTCCTACTGTGACGTGGCACTCATTACGCAACCGGCAAGCACTGCAGCTATATAAGTGAGCTGCACAGCTGGTACCAGTGAGTTCTACTGTAGCAGTCGGCGACTTCAGTTGTACTGCAACAGTCGCCGAGTCGAGTTGTGACCTGGCCATCGCCGAAGACAGTTCCGAGTTATAAAGTAACAGTCGCCGAGTCGAGTTATAAAGTAACAGTCACCGAGCGTGTTATCAACAGTTCTCCAGTCAGCCGACTACAAATTGGAGTATAGCAGCCGTCGCGGAAAGAAGAACCGGACGTGTGTGTGATTGTGTAAGTGGGAGCGTGTGATACAGTGATACATAGCTCCCCTACTGTAAACGTGTAGACCACTGAAGACAGAGTGAACTGATTTGCGCATAGGGTTATAAAGTGTGAAACCCCGCAACAGTGTTAACAGATTAATGCGCTTAGGGTTATAAAGTGTGAAACCCCGCAACTGTGTGATAATTAATTGTAGCCGATAGTTGTAGATTGTTAAATAAACCAATTAACCATCTCTACAGCGTATTCAGTAACGAAACACGTTACAATATCAACTGGGCTCAATGGAATAGGTTTCTACCTTAAGATGGAGACAGAATCCAGTCTCAAAATGCTGTGTTTGAAATAAAGAACAGGAGAACGTATAATGTCCAAAATACAGTAACTGTATATACCATACTGTTGAGAAAATATGTATAAAATGTTGGTTGGAAAAAGTCACATAATGAACTTCTATTTGACATTTACTTACCGCAGAGCATGCAGTCCAAGTTTAAAGATATCCACTCCATCAATAAGGATCTGCCCACCTGCAGGTTCAATAATACGGAACAGGCCTAATGTAAGGGATGACTTGCCAGCACCTGTCCGTCCAACAATACCAACCTGCAACAAGGAAAAAATCACACAATTACATGTACTCAAATTCTGAAACTTTTGTAGGATTTAAGGATCTTGAGGTGGTGGTTATGAAAACTTCTATCTTCTGGGATATAACGCTGTGTAGGATCTGAGGTTCTCACAGCCATGGTTATGAAGAGTTCTGTCTTCTGGGATACAGCACTCTGTAGGATCTGAGGTTCTCACAGCAGTGGTTATGAAAACTTCTATCTTCTGGGATACAGCGCTATGTAGGATCTGAGTTTCTCAAAGTGGTGGTTATGAAAACTTCTATCTTCTGGGATATAATGCTGTGAAGTCCGCTGAAAATCAATTGATGTTTTGGAAGAACATGTCACCTCAGAAATATCAGTCAATTTTCAATGTCCTAACCATTATTATCCATGAAGAAAGAACTCTTCTCAGACTTTTGTTATACGATCTCAGCCTGGAGCCTGACTATAATGACTGAGATATTTTGTAACTTTCCTCATTCTGTCCAGGGCACACGGTAGCTTAGTTGGTCGAGGCACTATGCTACAAGCCAGAAGGTTGCAGGTTCGTGTAGCAATGAGGTGGATTTTTTGAACTGACCTAATCTTTCCAGCCACACTATGACCCTTGGGTTGACTCAGCCTCTAACAGAAATGAGTACCAGGAAACTTTATGGGGGTAAAGGGCGGATGGCGAGTAAGGCTGAACTTACCGCCATCTGTGAGCCAACTGTCTAGAGAAAATGTGAGAACCTCGATGTCTCACAACTCTACAGGCCTTCATAGCCTGTTACAGGGATACCTTTAGCTTTTCTACCTTTACCTCCTCAATCCTTCCAGGCAAATGCCAGGATTGTACCCCAGGTCAGGCCATGACCACTTCCTTCTACATGCTGTGAACTTCACACTATCATAATCATCCTAACATCTGATACGTTATTAAAACCATCGTTAAAGTAACCACAAATAAGATAAATCAACAATTTTGTTATACAAGATTTTTTATATGGTAATTACGGATTATACAAAATATTCATTATTGAATCTCTGAATTCCAAGGCCTGTGAATGAAGGTATGTGTTACAGATTTTTACCAAAAATGTTCTACTCCCCCTCCAATAAATAATTTGTTCTAATGTGTACCATACAAATTCTCACTTCACATTCCTTCCAACAGCATGTACTGCTACATTTCCACAAATTGTCTTAGTGAGTGAAGCTTTCAGAAAAAAATGAAGACCTTTCACTTACTGAACGGGACCTATAAGTGATTTGTGATGTGCAAACATCAGAAAAGGAACCAGAAGAGTATGGAAGGATTTGTTGTGACATTTTCCAATTCACGACACCCACATATCTATCACATTAACTTCGTAAGGATATTAAAAGCAACCGAGTTCCCATGTCACTGTCCCAAACATTTCAGTTACAAGTCTGGCTTGCTGCACAGTACTTAAATATGCATTCACTCACTGAAGGATACACCACAGTTATTTTAATTCTGCGGGGAGGGGGTACTTTAAATAAATTATAAAATTCACCTTCTCTCCCCCTTTAACAGTAAAGGAGATGCCTCGCAGAACAAGATCAAGTCCTTCTCTGTAGCGGACCTGATAATCTTTGAATTCCACTTCTCCCTTTTCAGGCCAGCTGCTTGATGGCTGGTTTGTTGGTATATCCCATGGTGCTTCCTGTAATATAAAAATGACATTAAATTTTCTGCGAGTTTCTCAAACAAATAGGCATGACACAGTCCTAAAGCAAGAATATAAAAATTGGGTTTGGGCACACAATGAACTGTGCTGAGAACTGAAACGCTAAAAAGAACGAGGAGAAAGCAGATGCAGAATTTTAATTACCATCTTTGCTCATATGAGCTGTAACAAGATTACAAAAAACCAAACCATACATAACTCAAAATGATAAATGCCATGTAAAAGAGCACGTGTGTGTGTGTGTGTGTTGGAAGAACCCCCCTCCCTCCCAATTTTGAAGTAAGATACAGTCAATTTCAAAGTGGGTCACAATATAGCATAATAGATGAAATCTTTGACCTTAGACTTTTGCAGCCTTGGTGCAACTTCAACCTTTGGTGCTTAGACACATAATATGCTGCAACATTCTGGTGCATACTGCAATACCCACCTTCAGAGTGCCTCCCTCACCTCAGTACAGTCAAGGAAAGGAATTTAATATAGATACATTAATTTGTAGGCAAAACCTGAAGTACACGTCTCTATAATTGTGTGGTCTACCAATTGGAGTTATGAAACTTCTGATGTTTTCAATGAGTCACTGGTGAGCCAAAACCTATCGTAAATATCTGCATAAGAAGCTGTTTGCAATGATGTAGTTACTACAACAGTTATGGGTCCTTCACAACAGAAATCCTGATTCCACCCAATGAAGACTCCATACCTGTTCCGTCTCTCCATACTCTTTGATTCTCTCCACAGCTACAATGTTTGTCTCCACATCTGATGTCATTCTCACCAACCAGTTGAGTGTTTGTGTGATCTGAAATGTTGGTAACCAAATCAGGACGAAAAGTTCTTCTAGCAGTGACTGTACAGAACAGTCTTCTCAGTTGTGATGCTGTACAGTTTGGAGAAAGCCTGGCATGTTTGAGGAACATGTCATGTGAACCTGAAGATCAAGGCAACATGTTTCTCTGCAATGTTAGGCTTTCTCCAAATTACACTGCATTACAAAATCACTGAGTTTAGTAAAACAGCAAAATATTTTAAAGCGAATGCGTGTATGTCTACTGCCTTCAGATACGGTCCATGTTCAACTTCCTGGCCTGTGTCCATCTAGGAAAGGGTATGGGACCATGTCAGATGGGGTCAACCACACAGCAGATTGTGTTATGGCCAATAAAGCAAAAGTTGTGGTGGAGCTAAGTTTCTTGAGGTTGTTACTGTTTTGTAAGAAACGTACTACCTCCATCTTTCACCCTGAAGATGGAGACAGCATGTTCCTCCAAAACATTTGTATCGACCTACATAGTGCCATAAACTCAAGCACCAAAATCTAAACTTTAATTGTCATATAATCCTCAAATCTGATATACAACAATGATTTACGCATGCCATATTAGTGAAACAGCAATGCCGTTGTGATAGACCAGTTCTTAGACAAACCACCATCAAGGAAATCTCGAGGAATAGCAAAATAATGCTTCTGTACCTGTAATGCATAGCTAACACTCAGGCCCACAAGACCTGGGCTCATGGTGTCCCTTCCGAGAACAGAAAACAATGAAGCGAAGAATATAATGAGGTTTCCCACCATTTCCAGTCTCACAGCCAGCCACCTGTGAACACACATTTTGCAAGTCAGTCACATTTTAAAAACAAGTGCTTATGTCTGTCTGTCACTATGACTGCTGACAGCAGCTGCCACATTTTGATCAAACTGTACCACTGGCACTGATGATTTGCTGTTGTAACAATTTATCATTCATAATAAAACACATGCTGTAATCATAAAACAAACTCAATCCAATATATGGTTAGGTAACATAGCCACCAACACAACAAGAAAAATGGTATTACAATTAAAGTCAATATCTCATAGATTGAATTGTATTGTCTACCACTACACATTTCTGTCTTCACGGAATCAACATCAGCCAGTGTATATATGCAGTATATATATGCATCCATAATGTGGTGCAACACATCTGTATTATAAGAGTTGTAGAAAATTGTGCCTTGTGGGATGATGAAAATTTCAATACAGAAAAATACTGTCAATATTAGAGTATACACGAATTTGTATTTAAAATACAGTGCAGGTAATTAAGAAATGTTGCATATTATGAATACAGGATTTTATAATATGAATCCAGCCTGAAGATTGTTGTTTTCTGGAATATGACACCATGCGTGGCACAGAAGTCTCCTTTTCTTCCTGAAGATGGAGGCAGCATGTTCGTCCATTATATTAATGCTTATCTAACAAATTACAAAGTGTCTCATACCAGAAAATGGTAAACTTCACTCTTACCACTGTGAGAACTTCAAATCCCACTCAATTCAGCATGCTACATACAAAATAGTTGAGTGATGTAGTCACATGGACCGACATGCTAGTGTTGGCAGTTGGCACACAATGTATGTCACTTATTTACCTGTCAGATAGTGTACAGTAAAATCTAAATACGTCTGCATCTTGATGCAAATATCTGTGCTGTGTCATGGTTGTAAACAGTCTGAAACCAAATACTCTCCAGAAAAAGCATAAACAGATAATGAATGTCTTTACGAAACAAAATAAGAAACCTTTGTAGATGAATGAAAGTGCCTGACCCCATAGTTTCACTCCAGTAAGTGACAATGAACATAATATGCAACTGTAAAAGTTATGAATTCTAATACCGAAGTATGGACAACATTTTCAAAATATTGACAAATCTAACCTGTTTGCAATTATACTGGGAAAATAGCAGATTTGATTGAAGTCTACCCTGCTCTCCGATTCCTGCATGAACCTCTGCTGCACACCATATGCTCGAATTGTCTGTGCTCCTGCAAAGATAACACATTATGAATGTTCAGATAGTGTGAACTGTCCAAAGAAGAAGACCAAAAACTTGTTTAAATACAATGCGAGATATGATATTTATGATATATGGTAAAGATGTTACTCCACCACCTAAAATCCATTTCTTCAAATCTCTTTGTAAACTTGAGGAGAAAACAAAGTACTTCTTTGTCATAACATACATTTTTCCCATTCTTAATATAATATTGAGCACTGATTGCTCAGTCAGTATAGTGACTAGGCCACAGGCTGGACAGCCAAGGAATTGGAGTTTGATTCCTGGCAGGGGCAAGAAATTTCCTCTCCTCCATATGTCCAGTCCAACTGTGGGGCCCACCCAGCCTCTCATACAATAGGAATCAGGGCTTGCTTCCCTGGGAATAAAAGAGCAGAGGCATGGAACTGATCACTCACCTCCAACCAGTACTGTGGTGGAGCTATACCTCCAATTTCCCATAAACATTCATGGCATGGTACTTAATAAATTAAGTTCAAAGGTTACTTTACCTTTTACCTTACTTTAATACTTGTTCTAAAAACATGGCAACTAATCCAGGTGAGTAACTGCTGACATACAATTGTCATTCCATAATTAAGAATATAAACCTAAATATATTTAAGAAACATTCACTCTTTAAAGGGCTTATGTCTTCCAGAACTTGCAAACCTACATTATAATCACCTCAAATATTATTTTGAGAGTTAAAGGTTAACTTCAGATGCACATGACTTAATACACTAACAACTAAAATCACACTTTGAAACTACAATCTTACCTGTGATGCTTTCTCCAAAGTGCGAGTAAATAGGAGACCTTGAAACTGACTCTAACCTCTTTAGCTGACGTGAAGTGGCGACATAGAATCGCTGCAATGATCATAACAATATGAATTCTGATATATTCTTTATTCTGTCACATTTAACATTATAATAATGTTAAGAATTTACAGAATTAAAGGACTATTTATGAATGATATAAATTTCAGATTGCCCTAGCCCATACTTCTTTGAGTTCAAAAACAAACACAACCACTGACAAAATATTTTTCCTGTTTCACTTCTTAAGTACCAGAAAGGTGTACAACCTTCAACAAAGACACTTTCAAAGTGTTCCAGAATATGATTCCTTGTATACATTTATATGTGGAACATACCAGCCACCATTTCAATTTCTCTGATGTCAGTTTATTTCATCAGCTGTGCTTCCATTTCAGCACACTACATTTTGAAAGAATATGTCCAAGTATTTGAAATGTTAAAATATATCATGTTAATTTACTAATTCCAGCAACAATGAACCCATATAAAACAAACAAACCTACACCAGTAACATGTTAAACACAGAAAACACTTCTTGCTGGTACATCACTCATATAAAGGTCATATGCACTCTAATTCCATGACATCCTGACAATAATAGCGTGCAATTTTAGATTTTATTATATCTTCAGTTGTGTTAACTAATAAAAAGACCTGAAAATAAATACTTCTTCAATACTTTGTTCACATGATCTGGAAAATATTTGATTCCTTTGTTTAAACCTGTGGGTTAGTATATAAAATGAGATTCAGTCTGGGACAATTTTACTTAAAATTATTCAATTCCCCTACTGTCATAATTACAATTATTCTAAAGCTGGTATTAACAGAGTCTGCATTTTAATGAACTGGACAAATCATACCTGGATAAAATAATATAAGATGCCAATAGGAACAATCACAGTTATGAAGATGGGAGTGCTGTAACTGATTACCACAAGAGTGGCAATAACCTGCAAGTTTACAAAACAGAGGTCAATATCATACAACAACAGTGACATTCAGTTACACAGTATAACACAAACCAATGAACAGAATAATCACCAGAACACAAATTCTAAAATTTTTATTTTTTATACAAGGTCTGAGATGTTGACAGTGGGGAAAATTTCAGTGATCATCTTCTGGGTTATGACACCATTTCTGAAGAAACTGCTACCTCCATCTTCACAGTAGAAGTGAAGATGGAGGTGGTTTAAGAGTTTGTGGGGCCTTAGGCCAGTGTTCAGTGCTCCTGGGCACTGAAAAATGTGATAGTGTATGGGTGTGTGTTAGACACTTTATTATTTATTAGAATCAATGGAAAAAGGGAGTGGAGAACGTGCTATTTTTGTTTCACCTACAAATTTAGCGGCCTTCAAATATCTCCTGCTAGACAGACAAGTTGCATGCCCACCTGATGCAGGGCCATGGACACAGGCTACTTTATCTATGCCTTAATCTGCCCTGGGATGGAGGCAGGAGATGCCTTCAAAACAGAGGCACTCAGCAACAGGACTACACAATTCCATACACCAGAATACAACAGTCTAATAGATTTAAGATTCTAACTGAATATGTTTGCTTCTAACCATAAAATAACAAATTTTACTCCTCTGTAAGTTTTGGGATTTTCACTGCAGTGATTGCAGTGGGTTGTGACACTGCATACTTTTGTAGATGGATACCAATGTTTCAGAGAATTACCCTGCCTACCTCTTCAGGGTCTAAGAAGGATATGGATGCTATTAGGTTACAGAGGCAGGCAGCAAGTAAGGTCGTTACCCACCTTACTCAGTTCAACCCTGAAAATGGCAGCAGCCATGTTCCATTGAAACACTGGTATCCACATAGATAACTGTATGGTGAAACAACCGAAGTAACCACACTCTGAAAATTGTACTCCTTGATTGAAATAGTTTCTCAACTTGTTATAAAGAAAAAAAAAACATGTCTATGCTTCATGGAAATTAAGTTAAAACGTACACAATATGTTTAACATTTCAACTGCACAAGATGCGTCTCCTGTAAAAGTGTCACTACCAATAATTTGTACAGTGGAGAAACTACAGTTTGTATTAATGCACAGATGGTAAAGCTAAAAAATGGTTTGAATCATATCTTAACAATAGATACCAGAGAATTCAAGTCTGTGAAAAAGATTCTAATCAAACTACCCATTCTTCTTGGGGAATAATAACTGATGGTGTTCCTCAAGGCTCGGTTTTGGGCCCGTTGCTGTTTCTCATTTATATCAACGATCTGCCCAAAATCGTAATTAACAATGCTATATCCATTTTGTTTGCCGACGATACAAGCGTATTAATTAAAGGTTCAAATTTAGAAAATCTCCATATCAATATGAATAATGTTTTTAATCATTTATATAAGTGGTTTAGGACAAATTTGCTTTCAATAAATATTAATAAAACTCATAGTATGCAGTTTAAAACCAAAAATAAACTCACAACCGACGTAGATATTGTTTGTAACAATCGTCCAGTAACCACTGTGTCAAATATAAAGTTTCTTGGTATAAACATAATGGATACACTCAACTGGAGTTCACATGTGGAATGTATAATCCCAAAACTTACCTCAGCATGTTATATGATGAGAAGTATTAAACCATACTTGCCTCTAAAAACTTTGAAAACAATTTACTACTCTTATTTTGGCTCTGTTATGAACTATGGTCTTTGCTTTTGGGGAGTCTCGCCTCATAGTATAAAAGTATTTAGAATGCAGAAGAAGATAATTAGAATTATGATCGGCTGTAATAGTAGAGTTTCATGTAGAGATCTCTTTCGGAAATTGGAAATTTTGCCTTTGGCTTCACAGTATATTTTTTCACTCATGCTCTTTGTGGTTAATAATAAAAGTCTCTTTATTCCAAATTCACTAAATCATAATATAAATACAAGACATATTACAAATTTCTATCAACCCATAGCAAATTTTACGGTATATCAAAAGGGAGTGTATTATATGGGCATAAAAATTTATAATAATCTTCCTTCTTATATAAAAGAAGAGTCACTCAACCCTAAGAAGTTCAAAATTTGTTTAAAGCGTTTTCTTTATCTTCATCATTTTTATTCTGTGGAAGAATATTTCCAATATAAATCATTATAAGTTAATGATTATGCATTCACTAGAATCACCTGTTGATCATCCAGTTTTTTATTAGTATTATTCTAGTCATGATTCTACTATTCTAGTCTAGTCACCTAAGCAATTTCTGTGATATGTTCAAACTGACATTGTTTAAATTTAAACTGCATGTTTTATTAAAGTAACTTATATGACTGGAATCCATTTAATTCTACATGTTTTGTTTCAATTTTTGTATTTTATACTTTTTTATTTATGTATTTGGTTCTTGCTCTATTAATTTTAAGAATAATCACTGTATGGACATGTCCTATATCTCACTTGTATTGTGGATCCATGGAACGAAAAATAAATGAATGAATGAATGAATGAATGAGTTAAATCACAGAAATTATCAGTTTTATGAGTAAATATTATTTCACATGTACTTCACATTGTAGTGTCCTCTTTGGGTATGACTTATTTTTATATACTGAAAAATAAGAAGCTCTAACTGGTATAAATATTCAAAACATTATACTGCAGCATCCTGCTGCACCGAGTATTCTCACTTCTTGCTGTCTTTCTGCAACTTTGTCGATATACGAATATGAATATTAATAAATCAACAAAGTTGCACAAACACAGCAAGGAGTGAGAGCACAAAGTTAGAATAAATATTCAAAAACACCAATTATTCGATTGTGAAAAATGATCAAGACCAACATAATGTAGCATTTTCCACTTAAAAACAAAAAGAATACTTTATGTTGCTTGTGTTCTGCTGAAAGATTCCGTTCATTTTGAGGGAACAAGAATGCATATTTACTGACTTTAAAACTGCTATAACAATTTACTATCACTTGTTTAATTAGTAATGTAATTCATTTATAAATAACACTGCAGTTAAACTACTTATCTGATTCTGTTATAATACCATTATTTTACTTCCTTCTTTAATCATAATTTCTAAAACCCTGTCTCTCGTCTAAAAAAAAAAAGTTTGAACTTTTTCAAAATAAAAATACTGTCCATGAAAGACAATTCAGTAACATTTTGAACGGTATACACATATTTCATAAAATAAAATAAACAAATAATATCGCTATACATTCACAATCTTATCATGACACATTGATAGGACCCATTACTAAAAAACTATCAGTGAAATTTGAAAATTAATGCTGGACCAGAAAACTGGAAATTATAAATCAGAATGCGGTGGTTTTAAATTTATCCTACATTACAATTCGTATTTTAGTACAAATTTTTTTATGAATCTGAAATTTAAAAAAATAATTGATTTTATACAATATCTTATGATGTAACAAAATAAAGACAGGACAGTCTCTTTAAAACACAGAATCCTCACTGCACTGGCTACTGTACATAAACACTGTACGAACAAAGGGAGCACTAGAGAGGAAAGCACATTAGACATTAGAATAACCATGGCAACTTAAGTGTAAATTTGCAGAAATATATGGAAGCAAAACCTTGACCAAAAAGCTTTTGAATATTTACAAATAGATAAAATAAAAGCATCCTCATATATTGCAATGGTTATAACATAAAAAACTAAATACATTCAAACTAAAAGAACTTTCTAAACTAAAACTACAAGTATGCTCTACAAAACTAATAAAATAGAAAAGAATTCTACTACACATCACACACCACAATCACACAGACAAGAGTTGGAAACTGAAAAAGATGCAGAAACTTGAAAGCAGAGGCTTGTAGACCAATTGGTTCTTGAAATTCTCTTTGTGCACAGAAACCTGATTTTATAACCATATAAGCAAAATAGAATTCGAGATATTAAAATGGTATTACTTTCAGATAAACTTTTATAAGAAGGTTGAAATTTGAGGTAGTTAGTACGTCCACCATTTACATCACTTACCGAACAGGTTGGTCTAGCGGTAAGTCTACACCTGTACCCAGGAAATGCTTGGTTATAATCTCAGCCAAGACACAAACTACCCTGACTGGGGGTTTATATAGCTTTCCTCAGTTCCTCCAGGCAAATGCTGGGATAGTACCACGATTGTTTCCTTCCAAATCCTTTCCAATTCATCATTTGGTTATCATCCTATCATTCAGTGCTACACAGTCTGTAATACTGAAGGTGGTGTGCAAAAAATACTGTTTTGCTTATCTCAAACAGACTCAAGTTTTTGTATTTTAGAGGCAGATAAACCAAGCATCACTAAGTAACAAGCAACCATGATATGACATTAAGAATGTTTTTCTTGAACATGACAACAGAAGGAATAACAACATTTGCTTCTCAATGTGAATGACAAAAACTCATTTTTAGAGGTAAATAAAGAGTGTGACAAAGCAAACTATACAGCCTGCAGGCTACTCAACTGACGACATGTATTCTCATAGTGACAGATCACGCACTGTACTGCTGACACTGAAAATGCACAATGACTGAATAATCTACAAGAAAAACCAATGTTCATATTACAGCCTTTCTGCAACCTTGAAGATTAAGGCAGCAGGTATCTCCACAATATTAGTACCTACTTATCCAAATTACACAGCATCACATCTCGGAAGATCCTTAATATTCACTGTTGTCACAATATATAACAATATACTGTTCATGTAGTATTTTGATAGCAGGTGTTAAAATATGGTGTCTTCCAACATTTGAAAGAATTTCACATCAATAAATTCTTCAACTTTCACTTATACAATTTCACGAAAGAGAGTTTTAAACGATATTATTCTAATCATTTATATTTACTATAGTGAAATATTAAAAATGGTTTTAACGAGTGCTGTTGAACCACAGTCCTTTCTGCTTACCACACTCAAGTTTACTGAATCTGTCAAATTAAATTAAATATTCCCTTCTTCAAATATC